CAGCTGTTCTGCCAGGTATGTCATCTTAATCATGTCTCCAACTATTAAAAACTTTGTTACTTAAACACAAGGGAGTGAATATTATTTGTGTGTGTGTGGGTGTGTGTGGGTGTGGGCATCTGTCTGTCTGTGTTTCAGGCATTCCCAACTTACCCAATGTTTCCATATATCCTCATTGCTTCCAATCTTGAAGAATGGCTTGTCTGATGAATTTGTATGTGTTCCTTCTTTTCTCCAGGGGGAGTAAACTATGTACATGTGGGCAAACCCAACGTGAAGGTGTCTCTGGACACGTACATGTCATCTGGTGACTATGTAAGTTTTTTGCTGTTTCTCTTATGTGTATCTATATTAACTACAAATACGGACATGTGAAAGGCTCATAATCATAACACTGGCCACATACTGTAAATGTAGACTTAGTTATAAACTTTTAGACTTACTCATAAACTTTAAAATGTAGACTAAAGCCTACTCATAAACTTTACTGATGACCAAGTTTGTTTCAGGGGAGAGAACTGATCACAGGCAGCGTGGAGGGAGGTGACTTCTTCCGCCTTCACATCAACCAGTACAGAACAGTGGAGACCATCACCTGCTACTCCAAACAGGTTTGTTGTTTGCTTTTTTATTGTATAACTGGTATGTTGGCCACATAGTTGTGCAAGCGACTAAAACAGGGCGTCAAGTCGTCTTCAAGCTGCTTGTGTTTATTTTAATTGCCACACAGCTAATCTGTTTTAATCCCCCCCCCCCAGCCAATCGAGAACACCAACCTGATCTGTCTGTACGGAGTCCACGAGCGCTACCTGAACAACCTGGTCTCCCGCTTTGACGAGGGTCTCATCAAGGACTTCTACAGGTAGGCCATGTCTTAAAGATCTAAGTAATGACTTCTACAAGTGATTAATGTCTTAAAAGATATTTAAAGCAAAGACTTCTACAGATGGATTGTTTTAAAGAATAGATACTACCAGTAAAACTCATATCAGTTATTCTTGTCATAAAGGATATGTGGGACCAAGGGCCTTCTACTTTTTCTTTTTTTCCTGTTTTTTCTTTTCTTTTCCATTTTGAAATCTCCAAGGTTTGGAATTGAACGAGTCTTAAACAAGTTTGTCCCTGTATTTTACAGTTACTTCCAGGAGCCATGGTGCCTGGCGATCTTCCACGACCGCTTTTCAGACTTCCGACACGAAGTGCGAGAAATCTTGCTCAACAGACCGGTGGGTGTTGCTGGAACTTGAGAGATATCTACATGTACATATTGCATTGGTCAAAATTAGCTTCAGATTGTGAAGTACTTGGGATTCCTGTGAACTTAAAGTGATTTTTTGTGCCTTACAGACAACAGATGAGGAGTCACTGGAGGAACAAGTCCGACAGATGATCGATGAGGACCTGGTGGTAAGCAGCTCCTGCCTTGTACAAAAGCAAAACAAATAATGAAAACCATCCAAATGTTGTCCGTAAACATTCACCAACAACCAACAAAATCTGATGAAAATTGGACACTTGGACACAAAGATAGATTTATTTAAGTTTCTTTTTTCAAATAGCCCTCAGGGTTTTTGCGTATCATACATTCCTTTGTTTAATCTTTAAGTCTATGATGCCAATTAACAACATATTCCTTTCACTTACATGTACCATGTTGAAATCTTTTACCCTAGTTGAGTAAAGAGCAGAGACGTCACCTGGTGGACAACTTTAAGGACTCGGGAGCCAAGCGGTCGGTGGAGACGAGACTCCTGAGTTACCTGAGCTACAACTATTACCACCTGCCCATGTACGCCAAGCCTGGCATGGTGTGAGACCTCGACTAGAAACACCTGGTGTGAGACCACCTCTAGAAACACCTAGTGTTGTTAGCCCTTAGGATTATTATTCAGAAATGTCTATATCGTTGTGTATATTTGTCGGTATTTCTGTAACCTTGCATTTGTGGCTAATGCCATTCTTCTTATCTTTAAAACTCACCCTACCAAATTAAGATAGAGGGTAAAACCTAAGCTTCCAGCTTAAATAACTCAGATGATTCATTCCAAGAGGATGGTGACTCAAATCCAGACTTTTTAAAAATGTAACGATCAATGGAATGCCATCTTACAGATTCCTCTCTTATTTCCAAGGTCAATGGAGAAGTTATAATTTTGGTGTAATTATGATAATGCAGTTTATGAATAAGATGCTTTTTTAAGACTTACGATGGACAGATCCATTTGTTTAGCCCTAAACTGTAAATGTGAGATTGAGTTTGTAATATATAGCAAGCTGTGACCTGTATGTTTGTGGCATTGAGAACTAAGTATTTAGACTGCTGAACCCTGTGCATCTGCACTGTTTGATGCCTTGTATGAGCACTAATGTTTACTCTGAAAGATTTGTACAGCACTGATGAAATAAAGAATTACAACAAAGATGCAAACAGAACTTGGCGTTTTGAGAATCCAACATAGAATTTTACCAAATTAAAACTGACATGTTACACCTTTCATTAAGTATTACTAACACAAACAAAACTGCAAAGCGAAGGTTGTGAAGTATACTTGTATTTTAATGATGTATATAGTGCCTTCTGACATCTCAATGACTTCCATCTGCAAAGGTTTACAAGTCATCCAACAGACTGTGTTAGTCTTGTTTACAGTCCAAGGCTCTCTTCAAACAACAAAACCAAAGTACATAGCTTTCATTAAATATTAACGTCAAAAGAACGTCATAGCATGACTGATTGTACAAAAGGGATTTCAAGATCTTTAAATACAAAAATTAGATTAAAAGGCAAAAATTTGTGGGTAAAAATACTTAGGTCTATATATAAAAGGTGGGTACACTAATAAAGTGTCGCTATGCTACAGATGACATATGGTACAGTGTCCCATCTGTGCAGTGCTGTTATAAAATGCTTTAAAAACAAGCATTCTGAGGTAAGGATAAACAAACACTTAAGCCATACAGACACTGTCAACAGCGGTAGATATACACGTTAAAAACATGCTGTATAGCCTTATCATAGCCATGTGTATGAGGATCAATTCTGATGCATTAAACAATCTTAATACCATACATTTCCACAGGTATGAGATACAGCAAGCACTTCAAATTCCTTTACATTTACATTATGTGTAAAAACAGTTCAGGGAATTCATCCTGTCAAAATCCACTTTAACCAGATTTGAGAAGCTGTATAAAAACCTGTAAAACTGCAAGAAAAACTTGCATAGGTTAAAAAGGAGCCCAAATTGGGCTTCGTGATTCTGTTTGTAATTGTTTGGCCTGGAGTTGATGATGTGCAATCATCAGGGCATGATCAGAATAATGTTAGGTAAGCTAAGGTAAACACACATGGTACACAACAGCACATCACAGCCATCTATGGCTGAGTATAGTGGACAAAATACTGGCCTTCCTTCCTCCACAAATCACACCTATTTCTTCTGATGACGATCACTCGCCATTTCTTGTCCAACATTGTGATTGTGCTTTTCAATTTGCACACACCTAGAGCTATGCAGTAATCAATGACATTCATCGATCAGTTGATATGGCTCACAAACCATAATTAAATGTTGATAGCATCAAGCAAGAAATGTTGTAAAGTTGCCAAAAAAAAAAAAGAGAAGAAAACACATACAATAACATAGCCTTGCTATCGCTACATTTTACTTTAGGGCACATACAATATGTTTAGCTGCTACAAAAATAATACATTTATATGTACATGTTATTTCCACTTTTCCTCATTTTTTCATGTTCCTATATGATGCGTCCTGGGTATGTGGCCCTCCCGTTAACACTTGGCAACAACAATCACTTGTGTACAAATTACAGGCACAAATTCTGCCCCAGTGGATTACTGTTTACCGAACGAACGTCAGGCCTTATTAAAGAAAGAAACAACAACAAGAAACAGCACCATGAACAGTTTTCAAACAGCACCTGCAGTTCAACAACAATGAGACAGGGGACTCCCTTCAAACTCACAAACACTGCTGGCTGTGCTGCAGTTCAGGCCTTTTTTCTGCAGGACTGCAGTCACACATTTACAATTTTTACAAGATGGGTACTTACATTTACATTACAAGCGGTTTCATATCTTGGTTTCTTACAATGTTCCACACACGAGTGTTGGACAGGGAAAGACCCCAGCCAGAGCGATGTACACAGTTTCATTCCAGGATAAAATCAGAAAAGTACATTTCCTATCACTTAGACTCTACTTATACTCATGCTTGTTTGCGTTAAAGTGCACGAGTGCTTCCTTCCCAGTTTATGTCCCTGTAATACTTCATCCTCAGGACATACTAACTTTCTTACAAATAAACTCAAATCTTTGTACAGGTGTTAAAAACAGGAGCCCCGACATGACGAGTCAAACAACCCGTCTCCCTTCTAGATCTTGACGTCGAAGCATGTAACCATCATGATGTGTGACTTGCAGACGTTGACTCGTTTTTCCAGCCGCTCAGTTTCGTCTTCCAAGGCCTCTAGGTAGTTGGGGTCGTCCCAGTCCATCTCTTCTTCTACTTTACCTGGGAAAAAAAGGAGGCAACATTAGCATGAAAATTCATCCGTGTCAGTTGTTTTGACATAGTAGTAGACATACAACTTTGTTCCGACACAAAAAATTAAGAATCAATGACGTCATGATGAGTCTATATTAGTCCCTTGGTCTATAATAAATACCCGGGATAGCTATAATAGTTGGGAGGTCTCTAACTCCAGACATACTAGCCTAAGACCTGTCTGTAGAAAACGGAATCCCCAGTTATCCACTTGGTCCCTGCTTGGTTGGGAGGATTTAGGAAAAGGTTCGGGTTGCCAGGCGACATGGCGGCTTGGAATCCCGCACCATGCAACTTCTCGCCTCCTACCTAATCTGCCCAATTTTCTGTCTGGTGCAAAGAAGAGAAACAACCTGTAATTTAGCCCCTTGTTGAAACTGCCTGCCCATTTTCTGTTCAAACATCCAGGTTCGGACGTTTTGAAGGTAATAAGGTCGCAGTCTTCATGGATTATAGGGTAATGTAATTATATTGAACTTTGTGCCAGCCACATCCAAATAGTTGGAGAGGGTTAATTTTAAGGTTATTCACAAGTGCAAAGCAAGCAAGGCTATATACACAGTACCCCAGCTGTGACCAAGCTTCAGGCACAGGTTTGCGTTGGTTCAGTTACGACCAAACAAAACCAACTGACTGGGTCATGGGAAAGCCTTTCTCAATGGCCTATTAAAAACACGCAGAGTGGGATCTATGCACACAACTATGCAAAGAATTCTGACGCTTATATTGTAGACATGGCTCAAGAAGTGACCCTTACACTAGTTACAGCTGGTACAGGGGGAAAGTTACATCACACCAAATGTCCAGGGCAAGCTTTTAACAACACTATTACATGGTACCTATGGTGACCACTTACACAAATTCAATCCCACCATACAGGGAACCTTGTTATTACACCACTGGCTAAATGGCTAAAGAAGTAAACTTACTGGAATTATTCAAGGGAAAGTTAAACCACTGTGAATGGCTGCTAGGTATGGTAAGTAGGGTCGACTTACAATCAAAATTCCACTTCTTGCTGTCGATCATGAGTCGCTTCTTGGCCAGTGACAGTTCTTCCTTCAACTCCTGCTGTCTCCGGCGGAGCTCGGTGACTTTAGCGTTCCGTCGCTCCATCGCTCGGGTCTTTGCGTTAAACTGTGTTCCTCCCTGTAGACAAAGCAACAACATAAGGAGAGGTCAGGCTACTGTTCTGAAAATACTAGACTGTGATATTATCAAGCCTTTTAATCCACATAAAGATTGAGCTTTCCCAACAGGCAGCTCTGACTGAGGAATGGCTGTCACAATGTCCCACATATGCCACAATTGGCAAGCCAGGACAATCTGTCAAGAAAGATGCACTACCTGCTCTGTAACACAGCGAAATGGATTCCTGAGTTCAGATTTAGAGGAGGAAAGATGACGGTGCATACTCTCAGCAGCTCAGGCCTGGCTTCGAATGAGGAAACTAATCAGAGAGTCCCACTTCAGATCCCTCTTTTTAATCAAATCGGGCCATGTTATTGCAGTTTTTCCATACCAATGCAACGAGGGTCCCCGCACACAACAGGCCAGGGAAAGTCACCAATTACACCCGCCCACTTCACAATGGAGCCGACTATTGTCATGCAGGAGAGGCTGGCAGACTTAATTAATCATGTCAGAAACTGGGAGGTGACCCCAGATTAGGAGCCAGCACACATCTGGGTCTCCCACTCTCTACAATGGGAAAACACGAAATCCCCGCACTGCCCCGACTGGTGGTTTTGACTAATTGGGATGAAAATTGAGCTGACTGCACCGGAAGGGCAGGGTCAAGTGCAAGTAGTACAGGGCAGGAGCAACACTATTGAGGTGATGGACTGGGATGATTCTGTACAAGTCTGTAAGGGACGAGGACACAAGTACAAAGAAAATAATAGTGGGAATGCACTATAGCATTGGTTCCTGAAGGGAGGCATAATGTTTGATACAGATAATAATACAACACTATAGATATTCTGGTGTCTCAGCCATTTTGACATTTATTGTTTTTATGTTCATATTCAAATTCAGCACAATTTGTGTACTAATCTGAGACCCATCTTATTGGTGCAGCCCAACGAGCTCATTTCACAGGGACAACAGATGTCAGATGGGATGAACCCACTGATATTCAGGTGTCACGTTTCATCAACTGCAAACATGATTTCCCCTCGGATTAATATCATGCCAGTAATTATGTTGATGACTTATTTATTTTCTGCTAGAAAAAGTGCAGAATGCGGAACCTGGTCATCAATGTATCAGCTGGCCTGATCTATCTTGTACGTCAAAGATAAACACTAACTGATAGTTTCAGAGTGGACATTTGATACCTGCTCTTAGATGATTCCAAAATATTTTGCATACACTGATACGGAGATCTCATTTTTCAAAGCCTCCACTATCAAAAATTCTAGCAATGGTCATTTTCTGAAAGCAATCATCATGGCAACTTTACAAACACACTTCGCAAATTACATGTACTTACTTCCTGCAAATCCTGCTATGTATTGGGAGCAATGCAAAAAGAATGGAACCATTACATGTTTCTGTGTAACATGTCACTTTGCTCCTTCACTGCCCTTGTAGTTGCATTACACACTACCTTGTTTGAGGAGGCTGCTATATTTGGATCATCCCTAAAAATTGCTGGGTCAAAGATCACCATGGTGACAACCCTTCTAAAGGAGTTATCACAATAAAAGTTAACGACCTTGTTGGCAAGTGTCAACTAATTAGCGCAAAAGTGCGTGTGATTGGCCTGGGTTGCCAGGGGCGATAGCAAAGGGGTATGTGTCGGCTGGGTGGTCAATTTATATCCATGTCATCAGCCAGGGAAAAGTGTCTGCATACCCTGCATAGTTCTGTCAGTGAAAGGCAATTGGCATGACCATGCAGGCACTTCAGAGTATGCACTCTTACGGATTGGGAATGTGCAAATCTGTATTGTACAGTACTACTAGCTCGTAACACAACATGTCACTGGTTCAGGGGACCAGGGCTGGTGGACATGGTTGAAAATGGCTCTTGCCACACGGTTTCGGGCTACCTTTTCAGTATTGGAGGGGGAAAAGGGCACCTGCTATCTCCAAAACTTCTACATGAAGAATGAAAAAGTCAAAAGGAAAAGAAAAAGATGAAAGTCATCAAATAATACTTGCATCTTTTTGCTCTCAGGTGTCAGACCAAAGCAGTTTTTGGACAGACTGTAAAAAGTTATGAGATGCAGATCATATATCTAGGACAGGAAAAAACAAAACTAGACACAAGTGACTAATTTGGCCCGGCCCGAGTCTGTACCTTATCAGCATACATAGAGTGTGTCTGGTTAGGGAGATGTTTACTTTCTACAGGTTCAAGTTTATCTTTCCTGCCACTTGTTGTGATGTAGGAGACTGGGGTCTCGAACAATCAAAGGAAGGGGGTAGGAGGAATTTGGCACACCTTGGAGGAGGGTAGAGGTCTTGCGAGGTTAAGATCTGGTTAAACACCTCAAGCATGTCTGAGTACTGTGCACACCAGGGCTTGGTCAATCAACTGAAGCTATCTTTGCCAACTTTATCAGACACAGGTCCTGCCAGTGCCACTGGCAAAAATGCAAAACTGAAGAACCCATTTGTCTACCAGTTCTCCATTGGTTATGGATTTAGGTAGCAGGGAACACAGAGCAGAACTGTCAGAGTTGACTGTGGTAGGTTTGATGGATAGAAAGAGAGGGAAAAGAGACAGACAATTGTAAAAGGGGCTTTACAATAGACAGATAATAACAATGGCTTGAAAGGGAAATATTGTAAAGGGAGTGTTTGCGCATTAAAAAGGTCCTACAGACCACCAACGTCAAGGATTACTGTCCTATCCATGGGATAAAACAGAATCCTCAGAAATGACCGACTCCTACTTCTGATAGCAAACAATCTCAAGGCCATTGTCCTGGGCTATTACTAGATCAGACCTTGCACCTTGGCCAGTGAGCCTTGTCAAAATGAAAGATAGTGCGTTCAGAATATCCACTATCTTATTAGAATATCAAGTGCAAAACTGAAGGGAAAGTCAACCTCAGTTTTCAGGAAGTGTAAGAAAAAAACCATTTATTCCCCCAGATTTCATTGGCTCTTAAACTCAGACAAAAAATTAAGACAAGCCCCTCCAAAATAGACAAACAAAATAGTCCAGCCTACCTCTCCTCCATCCAGCCGTCTCTTTGCCAGTCTCTCAATGTCGTCCACTTCGTACACCTTCAGTTCCACCATGTCGTGCTGAGGTCTGTCTCCTGGGCGCACGTCCACCCACTTGGGCGAGCCCAGCGCTTTCCTGGACAGGGAAGGGCTGTCTGACGGACGTGGGGGGACCATACGCCGATTTCTGGAACCTAGAAAGAAAACAAACCACAATTTAGCCTGTTTTCATATTTTCCATTCAATGGTGAAAAGACGCTTCAGAACAGTTGGGAGCAATGCTCTAGTTGTACGTCAAGTAATAGTGGTGACCAATCAGCATACAGAAAAATCCTCTTCCTGCTTTCTGACCAGCTTGACCAGACAGCAGAGACAGGAATAGCCTTACAGGTTGAAGGAAATGTTAATTTGATGGGTGGTCTACGCTACACGGGCTTCTTGGAAGTATCCTCTGCCAACTGGCAACCTGTTATTACATGTCCCTACCTCCGGTCCTTTCAGCCCTGTCCACACCCCACCCTCCCCATAAACCAACCTAATTGTGTCAATCATCCCGACACTGGCTGACAGGCCGCTGTTGCTAGGCTTTCAGCAAATATGGTCAAGATGGCATAGTTAGTTTTAAACTGGCGTAATCCCATCAAAGTAAGTGAAGATCCCTGAGGTGCCATGAAAATCTCCTGGTCTGTAAGTGCTGGCAGGCACACTTTTATGTGTGTTGAAAGAAGCTCTAGTTTCAACAGCTTGCAAAATGTGATGCTCAGAGAGCAAGTGTCTGGTACATTTTGTACCAAGTGTCTATAAAGCACTGGTTACTTGACATTTTGATCACTGGGAATTTTGACTCTCTCACAAATTTCTCAGGTCAAATAAACATTTTCCTCACTATAAATTGTTATGGCTGTCATTATCCAAGATGAAATTTAGGACTGTCTGATTTACAAACTTAGTGGTTCATTGGTCAAGCACACACCAGTAACCTCAGTGCAGATAGCAGGATTGTGAGAGGAAGAGAAAGAACAGGCCTGGCTCACCTTGTGCCAATCGTTTCTTCAGGTTCCTGGAGGTTTTGATACGGCCAGAGGAGCTTTCACTCATCGAGTCGTGGTTGGACGAAGCACTTCCTGTTGCCTCGCTGTCACGCATCATGCTCTCGTAGCCGCTGCTGGCACCGCTGGCAGAGTTGAGGACGCTGGGCTTCATGGGAGGGGGGATGTCACCACTGAGGATGGAGCTGGCATCACTACCATGCCCACTACTCGAGCGGTGGGAGGGTCTGGGTGCTGTTACTGTGGAGTAGGGAGACACCAGGTTCATGGGCTTCGGCGACTTCTCGTCACCAATCTGGATCCCACTGTCGTTACCACTGTCAGAGTCCGTGGACAACCGAATTTTGGCCGGGCTTTCCTTGGACAGTTCAGACACCCTCGTGTTGTTGACTTTCGAAGCAGAGTCCTTCCGAGAGGGGAGGTTGGCCGTCCTGCTCTGCAGTGCCTGTGTTGCCTTCTGCCCTGTTCTACCGCTCGTGGTGGAGGCTTTGCCAGACGAGCTGCCTGCCTTGCCAGCAGGCTGCTGGGCTGACCTGTTGGAGGGCTGGAATGACTGGAGCGAAGACTTGCTGGATGAAGATGGGAGGGGCTTTCCTGACCGAGCGCTGCTGGGAACAGGCAACTTGGAACCTGCCTTGGCCGGCTTTGCAGAAACGTTTCCTGCAGACAGTCCACTGGTGCTGGCTGATCGTGAGGGTAACCTGTTTTTCGCAGAGACAGCATCTCTGGCAGAGGACATGCTGGCTTTCGAGGAGGCACTTCCAGATCGCAATCTGGCATCACCGAGGCTGCTGATTCGAGGAGGCTTGGGCGGCTTTTGCTCTGCTTTTGGAGCTGATTTTGCAGCAGATCTGGAGGATGAGGTAGAGCATGGAACCCACGACACAGGGCTGCTGCTGGATGACGGTTTGGGCAGCTGGCTTGGCTTTGGGGGTGGGCTGGGTTTCCCAGGTATTTTTGATGGTGGTGTGATTGGCCTACTGTCCTCCCTTGCTAACCCTGCAGGGGTGGGTCTGCTGAGTTTTGTGAGTTTCGTTGGAGATCCAGGGAGTGAACATGCTGATCCCTTGGGTCGAATGACAGGCCTACTGCCCGGTAACCTCTCACTGGCTGTGCTTCTCGCACCATCTGAATTTGAGCCATCACTAGCAGTTCTTGTGAGAGCTAGCTCCCTTGTTCTGTTTGACCTTACTGACTGTTTGGACAGAGATGAAGAGGAGGGTACTCTACAGATGCTAGCCTCCAACGGTTTGACACTTCCAGTGCTTCCAGCATGAGAACGTGACAGAGCATTCACAGACTTGGGTGTTATTCTGGAATGCACACTTATGTTTGACTTGAGTTCTGTTCGATGTGATGATGACAACTTACTACTCTGTGAGGTAGCATGGTTCCTACTCTGAGCGCTATGGCTTCCGGTACTTCTCAAACTACTACTTGAAGATGTCCTTTTCCCAAGTCTCATGTTCTGTCTCGTATTTGCCACTGACTTGTTGCTCTTGCTCGAACTTTCAGATGGTCTTCTCTCGCCCAGGGAGAAGCTTGCATCGTCGAGAGCTTCCAGTTTTTCCTTTGTTAAGGCGGTGACGTTTGTTGGTGGTGTGTAGGTTGCTCTGAGTGAAACCTGAGCGTTGGGAGGGGGTGGGGGTACATACAGCTCAATAGAGTCCTGACTGAGCATGCTCAGCGGGCGGGATTCGGGCAACACCACCTTAGTGGAACTGACACTGTCCTCGCTGACCCCACTGACAGGTCTGTCCTTCTTGTCAAATTTCTGCAGGTCGTCGGCATCTCCAAGGTCACTGATAAGGTCTGGAGGTCTGGAAGGAGCACCATCGAACTTTCTCCCCAAGATGTCTGTTGTGGCATCCAGGGGAATGTCATCCTCAAAGGGGAATCGTTCCAACTCACCATCTGGCGAGGTTCTCCCCTCATCCTTCACATCCTCCGTACCATCCAGGAGACTGTTGATGCTGATGCTGTCGAGGGAACACCTGTCGTCTTCCAGCCTCATGGGCAGGTCAGACGACTTGAACACCAAGTCGTGTGGGTTGGCGGGCGGGGAGGGCTTGTTACGACTTTCAACGCGCTTTGTCACCTCTGGCTCCGGTGGTACGGGAAGGTCAGGGGGTTTCGGGAACGACAGGTCAGGAGGTCTGTTCTGTAGGGTGATTGTCCTGGGAGGGGGAACTGGCTTTGGTTTGTTTGATGTTTTTCTCGGAGAAGGTACAGGCTTTGGAGCTGATGCCTCATCTTTGGGTTGTATAGTCTCCTCCATTAAATCCTCTTTAGTCAGAAATGCTTCTAGCTGGGCCAAGGTTTCTGTCAAGGAGTTAGAATCAGATTCTGCAGCTTTTTCTTCATTTGTTGGCTGCTTGGTAGGCGGAGTGAACCCTTCATCGTCACTTTCATCCTCAAACGTTGGCACAATGGAGTAGTACTGGTGCACGTTCCCATTCAGTAGCACAGAGTTGGATTTGTACTCACTGCCATCATCCAGAGAGGACAGCGTCTGCTCCCCGCTGTTCTGGATGTTTGAGATGGATTCAGAGGAGGTGAAGAGATCCTCGTTCTTCAACAAGGAGTCCAGGAACTCAGTGGCTTCGCTGAGAGGCTCGGGAAGAGATGAGGTAGGCTCGGGGAGATCCAAGGGAGGCAATTCTTCCTCAAGATTGTTCTGAGGAGAGGGCGCAGACTCTTCTGGTCTGGAGTCTTTCTCAGCGTCAGCTTCTTCGCAAACGAAGTCATAATCGCTGCCATTGTCCGTGATGGGTTCCAGGACTATGTCCTGCTGTTCCCTGGCAGATTCCTGCTCCATTCTTTCCTCTGCAGGTTTCTCATAAACAAGCTGGCTGGGTTCGTTCTCCTTGTTTTCCTCCTCGATGTACAGGTTTCTCCTGTTCTCTGTGTCAGGGCTGAACAGGGGTGACGATGATGGTGCCGGTTTGCTCTCTGTTTCACAGTCCTCCTCAACGATCTGACATTCTTTTCTCTGCTGCTTATAGTCCCTACGTACGATTGGTACAGTCTCGGGGGGACCCTCGTTGTCTGTCAGCTCTCTGTCGCTCAGCACAGCTCCGTTGGGGCCCACGTAGATGACTGTGTCGCAGGACTGCTCGCTGCTGGAGACGTCGTCCTTGTCACTGATACCAAGGCCTGTCGTGGTGTCTTCCCGGACAGTTTCCGATATGAGTGGCCTAGACGGGCGGAAGTGTGGTCTCCTGATGCGACCCTCCTCACACGAGCTCTCTCCACCAGATGAGCTTGAGTACTGTGAAATGAAAACAATCACATTTCTGGTTTTAGATACTTTCAGCATCTAACTACTTTACATGATCATTACAGCAAGCCTCAAACTGGGACTGAAGCAGTGTTGTGTTTGTCTGTGAATGTGGGAAAGTTTAGGTAGGTCTTGATGACTTTTTTAAACTAATAGTAAACTGATGAAAAGACAGCTCACCTTTGCTTTCTTCTTCCTCATGCGATGTATCCTGGACGCCAGCTGGACGGTCTGGAGGGTCTCGCTGTAGTGGGCCGCCTTGGGAGAGACGTGCGCGAGCATCGTGGTGCGGCAGTTAAGGTTCCCCAAGGACTCGCTAAGGAGCCGGGTGATCTTGCTCTCCCTGTTAGAAAAAGTCAAGACATCTTGTAAGGAACATAGAAGTGAAGAAGTTTGCTTGGTGTCAGTCCTTTATGTACAAGCACTTTATCTGTTGAACTAGTCTAATCAAAATCAGGCAAGAACAGAACTGACCTGTAAGGCACATGCTTGGCTCCATTGACCAGGGCAAGGATGACGTTCCCCAGTGCTGAGAGAGTCAGGGCGACGCTCCCAGAGGCTTTCCCGCTGGACTTCTCTCCGCTGCCGAGATCGATCAGGTGCAACCGGCTTCTTCCACCAGCAACTGAGACAAACAGAAATGTATTAATGTGGAATTTGTAATGTAGAACTTTTGCTCTTTCACCAAGTAAAAGAAATGACCAAGGTAAGTTTTACAAGATGAAACCTCAAACCACATTGGGTTCACTACAGAGATGTTATCTGTTCTTACAGCATATCTACACTTCAATCTATTCTCAACCATAAGTATGGCTCATCAAATGGCATAATTGATAGAAGCAGATGGCTGGGTAACATTGAGTATGGGTCCAACCTTACAGCCCCACCCTCCAGAGACAGGTTCAATGGATGAGTGGATTAAACCTTTCAGTCCAATGTTACACAGCTTGTGTTGTATCTACTGTACAAAACAGGCCCAGGGGCAGTTCACAGCTTATGCAAACCAAAAATCCACCACATTTGCTCACCTCCACCCTTGCCTGACTTGTCGATCCTGTACTGGTAGATGTGCAGGGTGAAGAGGAGATGTGAGTTCCTGTTTTCCTCCTCAGGTTCTTCTGTAACAGGGACACAAACATAACAACTTTAGAAACGACCTCAAACTGGACCCAGAGCAATTAGAGCCTCTACTACAGCAGTATTCTGTCTCATATTACATTAATGCTTGCAAACCTTACAAAAACAATGTTAACCTCCTTGCCCTGGCAGGGGTTACAAAAAGAGACATAGAGACAGATTATTCCAAAAATCCATAAAGATGACAATGTCCAAACAACAAACTAGCAACAAAAGATGTGAACTTCAACCTTGAAGTTGTAACCCTATTTCTGAAAAACACAGCAAAAGAAAAAATGTTCATCATTATTTCAAAGGCCTCAATGTACATATATGTACATTAATGCCCGAACAAAACTAAACATGGTCTGAAATGTGGCGAGAATAACATGACACAACTTGAGTGACACGAGGCTCATCACTTGGTAAATCGGTACATCAATCTCTAGAGGCTAAGTTGTATACAATATTGTTGTCCCAAACCTGTCGTGGGTGTCCTGGCAGTACTCCTGGCAGCTAGGGCGGCATCCAGATAGTAGGCAGCCTTCTCTGCCGTGGGTGCTCTCAGCTCACTCTGGTTCTGAAGCTGGAGAGGAAGACAGAAGAATGTGATCAGGTTTGCATTGATCTGAAGCTGCGATCAATCCCAGCAGGCTGCATGGATGAATATTTCATACATGCTGGCAAATTAAAACTTAGTGTCGCCATCACAATAAGGATTTCATGTATAGGAAGACTAGTAAGGCTTGTATGAAAGTGGTAATATCGCATGGAAAAGATTGATGTTACCTGGATGCCAAAAACAGGATCCTCACAGAGGTAAACACCCGGGGATGTCTCTTTGCTGCCTGTACTTCCTGTGGTCATAAAATATTTTGTGAAAAAAAGAGTTAAAATCATGGTACATTAAAGTAAGAAGCATTCTTCTTGTCAATATAAAGTAAAAGGTACAAGAAATGATTTCTTAAGTCTTGTTGTTATGATGCTATATACTTATTCATGAATTATGAGATAATGTCATTAATTCATCTAGCAGTCAATCCTGCCAATAGTGACCACTCAAGGGACTTTAAGAAAATTGTCACACTAGACAAGTTACCACTATGGATAGGATCCTTCATGCTTCGGTCAATGGGGAAAATCAAAGGGACCACACAAATAGTGAGTGTGATGTGATGTTGTTCTATGACTGACCTGTTGCCTGTTCAGAGAGCAGGTCTCTCAAGTTCTCCTGCTTGCCATACACCTCCACTGCCGACACACGCACCGAGAAGCGAGCTCCCGTCTTCTGCTTCTGCTCGTTGATAAGCCTGAAGAGCCAGGCTATGGAGCTGGGAATGATCCCCAGGCTCTGACTGTCGTCATCGTTTCCAGCCATGGTGTACGTTTTTCCTGTGGAGAAAAATGAATGGCAATCAGAGATGGCAAACTTCACCCCTTGTCCATATTGGCAGACTTCACCAAACATATGGGACTTCTTTAAGGAAGTTAAGTAACTTTTGGTTGCCTCAGGATAGTGAAGCACATTGATTTCAGACAGAGAGCTCCCAGCTGATGTCTCAGTAATCCAATTACCATGCATGATATGTGACGTGATAAGACGTCTAACTAAGTTTCAAATCCTGTGCTAATTCTAGCTGTTTGATGTGTTGCCAGTTCCTAACAGGAGACTTAATGTCACCAGCTAGCTGGTGTGTTACGCCGAAAGGCGGTTATACCGGCTATACAGATACAGATTATTACACAAAGGGGTTATGGAGATAAGGTAGGTGGTTAGTAAACTCCAAGCAGATGTATAAATCCAGTTTTTGCCACATCCTTTTCAATGCTTTTCTAATTGTCACTGCATCATATGAAAACAAGCATCAGAGTGTGTGCAAAACTGGCTGGAGCAAAACACCATGTACAAAAACATCTGCTTGGACATTAGGTGGAGGGGTCTGTAGGGGGCTTCCAAAACAAATAGAGTCGGACCAAAGTAAATTATAGAGAAAAGGTCCAGTGCCCATAGAACAGAGGCGAGGGGTGCTCCTGCCCAGCCGACCGCAGCACCGTCCATCCTACACGCTTCACCACACACAGAATATTGAAGGGAAAATAATCCCACAATCTGTCTCCAATGGGCCATCTTGTACACCCAATCATGTCAGAGTTTGCTCCGACAAGCAACTTTCCGTATGAGGTATTGATTTTGTCCCTCTAGTTAAGCAAGACTGCGTCAGTTTTTCATCTAAACCTGATTGCCGCCTGTTATGAGGACATCTGCACAGCAATTCTGGAAAATCACCACAATTTTTTCTACGCATACATCTTTTCCTGGCATTGCAGTGGACATAGTATGACAACAGAATGTGTGGTAAAATGGGTGTCTACGTCACTTTTTAAAATCAAACATGAGCCTATGATATAACATGTGTTTGCACAAAAATCAAGACAATGTTGTTTGCAGCCCACACCAATGTATCATGCCCATTTTCTTTGACATGTGTGGATCTTTCTTCATTGCAGTATTTCTCTACCGTAACAGCAAATCTAGAATGAGGTGGAACGCTGGGCTTTAGCAGGTCAGGTGCCAACAAAAGGGTAATGCCAATATTTGACTTCTAATCCACAGGGGGGCAGATGTCAGGCTGGACACCCCGCCAAAAAAAGATGTATGGTGCGGTCACAACTGAACACAAAGCTCTTAATGGAAGCAGGGCTGCCCCGCACCCGCCACAAGATTAGGGGGTTGTTGGCCTCGTAATGAAGGGTGATCCCATGGAAAGAGCAGCATGGCTTTGTAAGGCATTGCTTTAAACTGACCACTCTATATCATGCATCCATAATCATATAGAAGAGACGCAATGAATACATTAATCAATTTCAGTGACATGGCATGGCCAACTCTTCCAGTTTTCTTGCATTTATACATTCTTTGAATGTTTAACTGTATACTAGTAATATTTATCTGCTGGTACACTAGTATAAATGAGTTCTTGTGGAAACTGCTCTATCTGTATTATAAGTTCTTCAGATGTGGATTGTTGATGCCGGCTGGCCAGTGTGTAATCCCGTGTCACACACTGTGCTCTTGATTGTATCCTATGATCAGGGAAGCATGACTTTGTCTTGAAACATCTTGTACAAAACAACATCTTAGAAAGACCATCCCTCTCCCAAGAAGTCTTGAGGATTGGAGATTATTGCAGCTACTTCAGTCCATGCACCTGCCAGTCTTGTACTAGCCATTGGTCAGAACATTATTAGCTCATCCCCATAGAGCTGCAGGCCCACCCCGGTCCCCTGGCACACACCTCATTATGAGGTTTAATTTCACAGAAAATGACCACTTGGGTCCACAATGGACCAGTGGGAAGGCTGACTGCACAGCACACCAATACCACACACACCCCAGGTAAATAGCTGTGTTTAAACAAGCTTTTGAATCTGTGTAGCTTCCTTGCAGGTGCCCAGGTGCCCCTACAGCTGACCACTGGACATTTTTCTTTCTTTTTAACCTCCCTGCTGAAGTAGCAGCTGGGAGGAGGTTGCTGTCTGGCACCAAATTTGTACTCATTAGGCAGCAGGGAGATGGTTAAAAGTACAGCTTTTTTTCTATACACTCAGGAGGCTTTAGATGGTAAGCAAGCCACCAGGAGGACGGTAAAAGCAGCTGAGATGCTGTGTGATCATTTCTCTTACCAAGTTTTGAGTGTCCGTAGCAGAAAACACAGCCGTCCGCCCCACCAACTACAGACTGGAGGATGTCAGAGAGTGCTGATGAACACACTTCAACCTAAGGAGGCAACAGAACAAAGTTGGTTATATAACAACTCTATGCAAATGGATGATAAACAGAGATGCTACTACTGGCATTTGTGTTACTGATATGAAATGGCTAGAAGTCAGGAGAACTTCCTTCACTGCACCACTTTAGACTAAAAATTGTGCAGACCCTTTCTTTCCTCCAGGAAAAGTAAATAAATCGAAACTTCCAACAAAACAGGTGCATCTGAGGAAACAATCACAGAATCGTTTACATGGTTTTTGTTTATAATGCAAAACAAAAGACCATTTGATAAACAGCAGCTTGATAATGCCACACTGTGGGGATATTGGAGCAGCAGTAGCCTGGCTAATCCTTGTCCATGTCCAACACAAACTCACAAACAAAAGGCAGGTTTTAAGCAGGTGACTTCAAAAGGGTGCTTACATGGATTTCAATCTCCGGCAAATATTTACCATAACTTGTGAGAAAAGATTTTGAGTTGATTTGTTTTCTTTGTCTGTGATAACAACACACTTCAGGGATGCTCCTTCCGACCATGAACTGTGAAGATACAATTTTGACAGCTTCCGTTTTCATATTATTGTAAAACTAAAAAGATTTCCTTCATAACTCTGACCAATCTTAACAAACAAACTCTGAGGGATCAAGTATTAAAGTGAGTTTCCCCTGTTTACAGACAAAGTCTTGTGACAACATTTGCCTGTCATCAAAGGTGCCGACATCACCCAGAGAGATAGCACGTCGCACGACCCAACCTCAAACTCCCCTCTTAACATCACAACATGAATGACTAGGTGATAAGTCCAATCATTCAGCAATAGGTCACTAACCCCGTTATATAAGTCTTGCATAACTTTGGCTCTCCCGCCCTTCAAAGCTACAGAGACTGCCATAATATGACATGAACTTGCGCAACATTCACAGAGAGCTTATACAGGTTATGAACTGTCACATCCTGGTGGACAACATTCATACTGATGTATTCACCAGTGCAAGTTTGTGAAGGATAAGTGACAAATTTATTAAGGGTTTCTGTTAATGCTAAAAGCAGGTGAATAAATTTTGAGATTGGTGGTTGTCTGTAATTATTTTTCAATTCTTCACAGTGGTGAGGTCAGACAGAGTGTGTCTATCTAGTTTCTTACCTGAGAGGCATCCTCTGAGAATATGGCATCGAAAGCGAACATCTTGGGCGCCGCCACAGCCATCCTCCGGTGCGACACGCCGTTGAGGGAGGGGTCATACAGGGTCACCTGTTTCCTCCGCTGGTCGACCATGAGGGAGGAGTTGGCAATGTCTTCGCCCGTCGGACACACGCGTAGCATCACCTTTACCTGCATGGCAGGACACAAGTCAGAAACGTTACTGTCGTTTCCACCAAAAAACGTTCTCTGCACACCCTACTGGCAGGAGTACGAGTCTGGTGACTGTGTAGAAATTCCTATCCCAACTCTGTGTGGTTGATCACAGATGCATGGCTGATCAAATAGGGGTGCTTGACACACTGTCCAAATAAGAAATCTGGGCTGTACTTAACTCAGTAGGAATTTTAAGAGACTCACTGTTATGACAAGCTATGCTACAACTATGTGTATTGGTCATTTTATGTAGCTGAAATAGTTAGCTCTTTTTTCTTGTGGTTCTTGCGTGTTTCCTAAAATGAAAGTTAGAATGTCATATAGCAATAGTTAAAATTGTCATCCAAAAATATTAACTTAAAAACTGTTTTCAAAGCTCCATTGCAATACCATAAGGTTCAACTACCCCCCCCCCCAAGAAAAGTTTATATACTACAAAAACAAGTGACCACTTGTGGGCAGTTTACTTGGTTCCCCTTCATAACTGCAGGTTTTATGAGAGCCTAATGGAGATTAATATGGAGGTATGAAGGACCTAATGGCCATCTCTTGTGGGTCACGTCACCTGTGACGGATGTTGCGGCTTGGCCATTTCATACCTAATACCACCAGGCTCACCTCATCATCACAGGATTGCGTATGAAAATTGCTTATTAATATGCATGAAAAATGGACTTTTGGGCCTTGAGGCCCGGTGATGTCAGACTCAGTTTAGTATGGGCAAAGTTTGCCGTCCCTCTTCGAACTGACTTCTATAGTCTGGTAGAGATGGACCCAGTGAGACTGGTTGAGGATACAGGTGTAAGAAGAGTCAGTTAACAAATTATAGCTTTTATAAATCTTAACTACTATGACGAAAAAGTTCATTATCAATATCATCAATGATAACAGCTTGCTGTATGTCTCTCCTTGCTTGGTGTGCTATTGCTAAATCTATATTCTATAATAGGTGGTGTTTTTTCTTGGGTTTTAGCCGTAACTAAGGCCTACCACCAGAGATTATAGTTTTATAAAAAATAATCAGACTGGACAGCATATATATGCCCCATGACATTTTAAATGGCATTTTTGGATTGCGGTAGGAATGACCATAAAGCCGAATCGTGTCCACTCATGCATAAGCTTGACATTTTGACCTGTTATGGGCATAGGACACAGCTGATATCTGGCATTCATAACATCCTCGTCATCATATTAGGGGCCAGTTATTAATTCATATCGGCCATAGCCGACATCGTAAAAATGTACTTTCATTTTCAGTGGTTTTCAATGTCAGCCTCCATTGGAATTTTACACTTTCTTCTCCTTTTGTTTACTTCTTTAACAAAAATAAAAAAGTTTTTCAGAACATTGCAATGGCAAATTTCAAATGACTATAAATGAGAGAAGATGGACCATGCATTTCCTGCATAAACATTAATTATACTTGTAGTAAGTTGTACCTCTTTGACATGTAGCCTGGGTACCATCCGGATTTTCGCTACGCAACGCTCAAAAATCCAGATGGTACCCAGGCTATTTGACATGTACTAGTACTAGAAAAATACAACCTTCAAGGACAAGACATACAAATATAGGCTCAAACCTCACATCTTCTTGGAGGTTCTTACACTCTTATCTAATAATATAATATGGTGGCTGTCTCCTCGGAGACGACCTTTGTCCCCAAACAGATGTTCCCTCAGTTGTGTAATCAGTGGCCTCTCCTGTCCCCACAGAAAATTAGCCCATTAGCTGTGACCACCTTCCCTTTCTGGGGCGCTGAACCATCACAATCAAATTTGTAAAACCTGCTAACTAGAAAATCCTCACATATTGCCAGCTACTGGTCATTAGTGGGGGATTTGGAGGGACATTAAAATAAAACTAGCAAAAAAGAATCTCTTACCTAGACAAGTAAGCATGGACTGGGAAATATGTGGTATGGTGAACTTCCTTTCTGAAGTCACTTTCTGAAGTTACTATACTAGTACATGTATAATACTAGTACTATAAGCATTTGTGGCATTAACAAGCCAAAAATAACCAATCTTAATTCTAATAGAATTCTGTTTTCTGAATAACTGTGAAACATAAAATGGCTCGTAACCGATGTTAGTAATAACGATGTAGAAATTTCAGACAGCCACTGTGATTTCTGTGGCAGTAAACAGAAGCCCTTGATAATGCAGCAGTAAGTCTTCCACATAAACTCGGACGTTATTACAGCAGACAGACCCTCCATTTATCACTCACAGTGGCTACAACACCAGACCAAACTTATTGAAAATTTTATACAGTGGCAATAGACGTCCAATGAATATCATTACAGTAATAACTCGCCCATGCACACATGAGGTCATAATGAAAAAGTGGCTGTCAGAGGCGACCCGACCTTCTCACCCCCAAAATATATGAAAACCAAAGCAGGCCTCAGCTGAAAGTAGCTACTGAAATACTTAGCTCTAGTTTCAATATCCTATACCAATACCATAGTTACAGTACATAGTTTGACAGTGATTTGTCATTGGGGTACATCTTTCTAATGACTAGTTGGCCAGTTAACTGTTGGGCAGACAAACCAATAAAACATAAAATTTCAATAAAACATAAAATTTCTCAAAGATGATGTTGAAAGTGCATGATACGAATTTGATATCATGTACATTTGTGAGTGAGAATTCATGGCAAATATGGTAGTTTTGAGCTGTACCTATGTGCTACTTGTGGGGTTTGCTTCCCATGACCAATAGATCCCAGACCACACATCATTTCAGCACTGCTGAAATAGGATGAGCTGCACTTGCTGAGAAACTAATAACTTCCTGGCAAAATCAAGGCTGACCTTTGGCCTCCTGGGGACTCCTGGGGCATATTGGGAAAATGGCTTCATTCATGTTCAGGAGAGAGACTGATTGGAGGACATGTAATCATGGAGGGCTGGCAGACCTGGGAACTCACTCCCCATTTTTGTAATGATGATAGAGGAAAATGTGTTCAAAAAGATGCATTTATATTACAAGTGTTCAGCGACATCATTGGTGTCAAGACATTACTGAAGATTTATCATTTATGTTTAGATAAGCTGAAAATACTGGCATCAGAAAAAAATACATGTACCTTTCAGAAAACACAAAAAAAAGTTTTCTACGGAGACAGAATTTGCTTTTTTTTCCATTCTTACAAATACTGGTATAAACTTTCCACTTCATCATGCAAGTCGGTATTTACTAAGCTAATAATGGTGTTTTTTCAATATCCCTGCATTGCAGGTACGTTGAGTATACTCAAGCAGTCAAGATGTATCTGTGTTGTAATAAGCAGAAAAAATTTGGCCAAGCTGAGTCACAGCGCAAGGTCAAACATGCTGTCGGACAAACGTAGCATTCAAATTCCACTTAAACTTTCAATTTCGGCAAATTGATACAAATGTCTCAATCTGCTACGCTCATTACAGTAGTCATACGATGGGGTTTTGGTCCATAGAGCAGTGGATTTGGCACAGCATGGGCCACTACATTACTTGATCTGACCGATGTAGCAAAGTCACACCATTGGGTGAACAGGTGTAGCATGTGAGAGACCAGCCATTTGTTACAATTTGGCCACTGGTCCCACAGTGTCAGCCCTGTGCCAGGGTTTTAGCTGGGCAGCAATTACAGGGAGAATGGCTGGAACACATTCAGTATTTGACGGGATTAGGAGCTTTGTATTGCAATACTGCACAAAAATTCCCATTCAATTATATGCGACCTCCTTTCAATATAGATAGGAATTTAAAAAGAAAAATTGAAATTTTAAATATATATATTTCCATGCCAAATATGAATTAAGTGACAGCTACTAATATCTATGTTGCAAATGTCAAACCAAAGGGGGAAATTGTGCAGCTTCAAATGAAAACCTTTCTTGTGCAGTACATCTAATTTCAAGTTGGTATGTGGGACTTCTACCACAGTGCACTTGGCAGTTGGAAAATGACTCTGCAAATTCTAAGTGACCAGGTGTGAAGTGTCTGTTGCAATGTCAGTGCAAGCACCATAATATTTGCTATAATCAAAGTCATCATCATCATGTCAGGTTGTTTGCCGGGACTAAATATAAATTGAAGTTGGGCTCTATATTTTCAGGGAGAACCTTGCGTGTAGACCAATGTAAACCAGCACCATACCTTGCCCACGCCCAGGTTGTCCCTCTTGCTGCTGGTGCGGAGGAAGCATGGTGGCACGGATGGCGGACTGGCCTTCAGGAGGTCGCTGAAGTTGGTGGGGAAGATGGGCAGCTCGGGCTGCGGCTCCGGGGCGTGCTTCTTCTTCTTCTTAGAGGCCAGGTTGAGCTTCTGGGCAGCCCTGCAGGAACACACAACAGCAGAATGTCAGATTTACGTGACAAAATAGAGATACAATGTATATAAATCATTACCTACAAGGCCCCACAGTCACACCAAAACAGAAATTACATCTGTGATTCTGTGTCAGCACAAATTATGTACATCATACACATGTACTTTCCCCTGTTTGGAGACGGATGTTCAAATCCAGTAAAATTGTCATATCTAACCCAGAGTGTTATAATAACTTATTCAAAGCTGTCCAACACACTTTACCACACTTGATAACAGCAAAGCTGCAAGTTCCACTCTTTGAAGAATAGTTCTTGGAAAAAACTGTAGTGTTTTGTAGTGGTGTGCTTCTGTTGGCTGTGTGAAGGCTGTACAATACGTAAGTTGAAAACTAGTCAGTCCGTAGAAGCACAACACAACACAAAAAACAACACAACAGTAATTCCAAAAACTTTCTTTGCTTGACCTTTTGACACTTGGAACAACCTAACAACTTTCCAACTTGAAGAGACAGTAAACTGATACTAAATGTAGCAACAGTCTGCTTCTTCCATCATGAATCATGAGATTCTGCATGACCAAAACCAAGGTAAAAACACCAGTCTGATTTGATGGGACTCTGGCAACAACACAATGAATTCAAACTTGTGTGTGACAAGCCATATTAAAAAGTTGTTCCAAATAACTATAGAGAGATATGAGAAGAAAAACTTGAAGATCTTTTGTATATAAAAGTAGAAAGTAGTAGAACAGACCTTGCCACCAAACCCTGCATCATCCTGCCTATTGTGTGACCATTCCCAGACTGGTCAGACACTAAAACCTATCTCCCACTGTGCATTTTACCAACTGATTTACATATGGGGACCACCCCTTTCCCCAGCATGAGCCCTGTGCCTTGTCCAATCCATCATGCTTACCGAAGTGGCACTGACAACCGGACAATTGCACCCACCACAAATGGTCACTGACCAAACTTGGGGCTGCCCAAGTCTGCCACACTGATGCAATACATGTACTTTTAATTTTTCTGGTGTTCTTGCAGCGTAATGATCCAGGCATTTTCAACAATGTAAAAATTGTGATCTACAACAATTAACAAATGCTGTGAAATCAACTGCTGAAGGAAATGTGGCTTGAAGTGTGATCTTTGACCTCTAGAACAAAGGCTGACATGGTCCCATGCTGTATCTGTGCAAACAGTGACAGAATGCCGGGCTTGTCGCCCAGCCTCCTGCGCATGTTCTTCCTTTGTCATTCGCAGGCTGAACGACAGCCCTGCATGGCCAGTCGCATGCAGGGACATGGGAGACTACAAAAAAAAAGCTAAACGCACAATTAACACCTCATCCACATGACAGTACCAGTTCACACCACAACTGAGGAACTAATTACATCATCACATAACAATAGATGCATTGATAAGATTACCCATTCACATGCACCTGTGAACATCAAGCTTCCCACCACCACTCTTGTGTCCCAAAGAAAGTAGGAGAAGAACTAGGAGAACCAACATGTTCTTTACTATTGTTGTTTTGAGGTGGATGCACTGGCTTTTGAAATTCTGGGTTCCCAGTGTGAAACTCCTTGCACGGCTCATTTTGCTGGCAAATTAGTCAGCCTGTCTGGCCAATTTCAACTATTTTACAGCAACCATGTCTGGATGAGATTGAGAATATCTGGAGAAAGTGGGAGAATCTAAGAAAACTAAGATTTCTGTTGTAAGGAGGGAGAAATAGCTTGGAGAACTGATGCTGACAAGGAACTAGTTGATCTGTCAATATAGCAGTACAGCGTCCTGTAAAAAAGAAAGTTAAAAAGAAACTAGGAAAACCATTATGTGCCCTCTTCTTATTGTTATGAGATGGACATGAGGAAGCTGATAAAATCAGGCAGACAAGATCTCTAGTGTCTCCAGAGATGGGCCCTCTGATCTGTCAATATAGCAGTGTCATCGCCTGTCCAATAATCCAATCACCTGGTGTCTCAGGGGTTGTCCTGTCCTAAGCCACACAGCCCAGAGTGACCAGGCTGGTGACCATGTTTGGGCACAGTGAGCTGTGCCCCCTTCAATCCCCAAATCCTTCCTGTTCCACCATTGATTGTTCGCACCAGATGTTTTGGTCCGGTGGTGACAAGTACCTGCTAGGGTGTTATGGCCTTCCTGTTCCCAGCAAAGATTTTGCAAGGGGAGATATGACACAACCACAAACTTGTCAAACACCTGTTAGAACCTACGTGTGACCCATAACACCCACAGCTGGGTGGACTGGTGGGCTGGGTGGGAAGTTTATAGGGGGTAGCTAATGACAGCAGATTACGGAAGTATCTCATCGTAAGCATTTAGCACTCTCCCACTCGAAAATTATCATTTGTTATGACTCATTGTAAAATGGCATTTCTATGGCTTCAAAAATACAATTTCCATACAAAGTAAATTTGAAGAAATACTGGTCTGGACGCCATATATAAAACATATATCATCATGATACAAATCTTTACAGCTATGGGATAAGCCTGATCGGAAACCACAAAAAGTCTAAACTTTCGTCTTATGTATCTACCTGTGCAAAAGCTGTTGGGTACAGTAAGCATGTGTAGCTGTAGGACTGTAAAGTACAGACATTTGGGAGAAAATCTAGCCATAATTCAGACCACCCTGATGTTTAGGACGTCTGAATACAACTTTGCTAGGTAACACTGTGCTTGGCTGGGAATTTATAGGCACAGACCGTCAAGCTGCTCCACTCTCAATGGATCCTTCCACCTTTTCATTGGTTATGTACACATCTCTATGCACTCCCCCTACAGCAATGGTTGTAAATACCTCCAGTACAGTGGGAAGTAAACCACAAGTCATTCAACACACAATGGGAGACTGGAGCACGGCGGAAGGACGCAATTGCGGAGGAATGTTTGGCATTTTGGGGCTGACTCCACGTGAATGTTAGTCACAAGGAGATGATGTATAATGTTTGCATGTTGTGAAAGGACCATAGTGGTGGACGTCAAGTTCACACAAGGCAAGGAATTTCTGCCACATCCAGGTGTCAAGCAGGACTTAGGCCAAATTTAATTTGTCTACAATGTTGAAGTGTGCCTACCTGTACGAACATGGTTCGTTCTAGCCAGCACGTACAAAATCCACTCACCTGTATGATTTTCTATGTTTGTATCAAACCAAGTGTAATAGGAGTGGCCAATCTGACAGGATATGAAACTGACGACCAATTTCTGATAGACCTCTGAAATCCACTAAAGTATCACCTGGGTCAAAATAAAAAGTGGACAGTAACAGAAATAACAGAAAATAGGTCCCATAACGACTCCCACGAGGTTGAGGGAAAATCAAATACCTGACACTTACCTGAACCAAGGGGGCTGCTTGAACATGCTCCCGCAGGTGTGACAAAACGTGATCGTCAACTCTAACCAAACAGTCCCTTCGTTGACAGAAGCTGTGGTATAAACTCGCCACTTCTCTTTACACCACACGTGCAATCATAACATCGGCGGCGGCTTCACTCACACAGATGTTGTCTCTTCCGCCGCGGCTCTTTTTGAAGCTTTTCCCCTTCAAGGTGTGGACACAATTATGCATCACCCTCCCCCCGTAAAACTGTATGGCTCTAATTGGCTTGATGACCGGCATTCCGACTGGTCAAGAGGATGGTTTACACTGATTTATGGATTCTTCAAGCCAGTGCCTACGCAGTAATCTTCACTTGAACAACCTGGGCCGGAGAGGTGGTGACTTGCACGTAACATGGTCTTCAAAAAACTCGTAACTTCCGTTCCATTCCCCAGCACACGAAAGATCGTAGTGAAATTTCCGACAGGCTTCTAACAAGGCGGATTTATGGCATTCCTCTAGGGCGGGTGAACTTAACGAGCTGAAATCCTACAAAATCTTGACGTACTTCCAAGGAACCACACGTCAATACTTCCCACTGGACCCATGACTGTTGTCACAAGTTTTTTTGACGTTTCAAAAGCTTTTTCCTCCTACTGGTCAGCACCAGCCCCTTTGAACAGGTAACGTCACCCAGTCACCTTTTGGTCACCCCTAGATGACCCCGGGTCACCTGAAAATGTTGGGCAGTATAATAACTGTGTCATAAAGAAGACAAAGGCCACACCACAAAATGGAAACTTTGATCCAGCCCAGGCCAATTAGTCTTCGGCTGTGTCAACACATCGGTGACCAAACAATGGCTGCTGCCCAAGATAAATAGGGGGGTTCTGTGTGTAGACTCATATTTACAGCACCCATAAAACACGACAATAGATACAGGACAGGTAGGCACAAGGAGAGGTCAAAAGTACAATATGGCCGGGCAGTTGCTGACGCTAAAAATACGCTTTCAACCCGCACTTAACCAGGTGTTGGGCTGAACAGGAGGGGAGACGCCAAGAAAGGAGGGCTTTCGGTTGATAGGCTTGGAATAGAGATGACCTCATCGAGCAGTAGTTAAAGGAGCAGTTGTGCAAACTCAGGGAAACTCGTTCTGTTGGCACCTGTGGCTGCAGGGCCCACAGCAACAATGCACAGCAAGGTAACCAACAGGCTGGCCATCTCCCTGCCAGGAGAACTCCCCTCCCAAACCCTCAACAAAACCTACACTTTTCAAGCCTCTTCAAACCAGCATAATATACCTTACCAAGACAAGAGGCTGAGCGTACAGACTTGTTGCATAAGGACAATATTGATTCTAGACGGCAGTTTGCAGGTCGGGCTATAACAGCACATATGGGCCGACTGAAGTGTGCTGTAAGTTTCCACACCCGTAAAGTTCCCTACATATTTTGCAAATATATTGCGATGCGCCGACTTCAAACGGAGGATGTCTTTACCCATCAACATGCCCCACATGATGGTATTTGAACAGGTGCCCTCCCCCTGCGACATGTGGCACAGAGAGGAGCTGTTATCTGCTACCTCTACCCTGGGAAGCAGATACAGTTTCTTCCATCAGGGTTCTCCCAAAGAGATAGAGCAACACCACCGTGTTATGATATCTGCACCAGCTTGTCAATTTTCATATTTGGGTAACTTTGCTTTAACTCCTCAGCTGATGCTTTCTCTTGAGTGAGTTTCTTCCTTTCTTACAGTACCACCTTGCTCTAACTATTTAGAGAAAGTTTTTCTATTGCCATGTTACAGGTACATTCATAACTATAACTCATACTGTCAATATCATGACCTGGCTATACCAGGCATCCCTATGTAGCTGATTCATGATAATTACAAAGACTCTGTGGAGGATGATCCTGCTAACAGATGATTTCTCAAGTGTTTAATTACGAACCCTCTTGAAGAATACTTTAAAAGACATATACATACCTGGCCATTACAGGCAGATGTTCAAGTTGGTGCATGGTGACTGTCCTGTGATGTAATCCTTTCAGCCAGATATACCATGCTGTTCTTCTCAAAGTCCCAAGAAAGAAGCCACGTTAGTTACGGCAGGTGTCCTCCTGCCTATCAGCCAACTTAACTGCTGCCCAGTCAGTGAACACACTGCTAAGTGACTATGACAAGCGGTTCCCTCGATAGGAATCGGACCCCATGCCAAGCACAAAAAGAAAACAAAACAGCCCAATTTGGGTCCTACACAGAAAACAACCCCATTTAGAAGTTTCTCAACAAATTGGAAAAACAACCCAAGCAGCCCCAACACTGCAAGACTGGGATCTTTGTCACAAATATAGGAGGCCTCAAGAGCTTGCAAAATATTTGCTGTCCCGATCACACAAGACGGGCTTCGGCACTCCAAACCTCTGCCCAGTTACTCCTGCTACTACAAGATGTTAATATATTAATTAGCAAACAAGACAAACTTGGTAATTAATGTCGGACAAACACCGCAGGGGGCAGCGACCAGCCACTTCAATGTAAAATTACATGATGAAATGGACACTGAAATATATAAATGCCCATATTTATATTTACAAAGCCTCGGAGGACAAATATACCGGTGTTTATTCTCCACTTTATCTTGATCTCTCCCCATGTCGTCGCTTTGATGTCCGACGCACGAGGGGAGAGAACGTGGCCCAGCGTGACATCGTTTTTACCGGGAGGCCGGCAGCAGCGTACCTACACACGCAAACCGCGTTACAGCGCGAGAAACCCGCCGTGGTAACCCGGGAGACGGGCCAACCCCCCGTGACATGTTAATCTCCCAGACAAGCAAAACAACACCAGGAGTGCAAGTGCCTCGCTGACAAAAACAGTAGATACCAAGGAATTCAGATTTCAGAACGTTTGACTGAGAGGACATCTACCAAAAGGTAACTGTACACTTGCCCATGCTGGAGAGGTACAGGTGGTTGGAACTGTGCCAAGGTGAACAAGGCACAAGTTCAACAATGTGGGAGGAAAGGACATTCATAAAATTATTTGCAGATGACCTGTGCAGAAATGCAATGTAATTGAGGGATACCAAGAAAGAACTAGTTACAAGACAAGAAGCCTGTTTCAACGCATTACTTTTTATTTTCGACAAATTTTTGTAATTTCAACGACAGGAAACAGACAGGTGCATTTTCAGCATTATGGACGAATGCGAAATATCTTGATATGAAATTTCATGAGGATTACAGTTTTTTTTCACTTCCACATCACATGCACATCAACGTTTCCACTGACCTCCCCTACCCCAATTAGTCGGCTGTAAACTTTTCTCACCCCCGGACCCCCACCTCAGGCTAGTCATTATCACATCACAGAGAGCAGGCCTGGCTCCATAGCTCGGGGTTAGCCTGTAAAAACCACTTGTCAAGTGACCAGTGGACCAGATAATAATACATTCTTACATCTCTGCGACTATCATCTTCCTCAGTAAAAGTACAAAACAAGTGTGTGAGAACTTTAGAGCCGCCATCATTAAGACTCACCTGACATATAAATCTCCTATTCCAGCTTTAGGCATAGAGGATGAGGTCATACCAATGATGTCCTTGATTCTCAGACATTCCTGACTAATATTCTTGCAAGAGAATGTCATGGGAAAAGCCAAGTGGGGGAAAAGCTGGAAATGCTGACTACATTCGCTCCCTGAAACAATCTTTCTGTACATGTCTTTACAGTTCAGCAGTTTTTTTTTTAAATCCAGGGATTAACAAATTGATTTGAAATAGCCCAAGGAAAGCACCATCAATATTTCAGACTCAACAAGTGTGCTATTAAGTGGTATTTTGGTTAAAGATTTCAAAGATCATGCTAAAATTCTATCTCTACAATAATCTGAAACGGCCTCTGTCTACTTCAGCTGCCCAATTATCCAGTTTGCAGGTCGGGACAGAAGCAGACTGACAGGAGGTCAGGAAGATCAACATGCACAAGTCCCATTACACATTGTCTGGGCACACAATTACCAGCCTGCGTGTGCAGGTCTTGACACAGCCTTTGTGCCTGTGAAGTTCCACTCAGATGGAAGACATTGATATGATATAGTGTGTCAGTCAGACGCCTTCGATGATGATTGACACACCTGTGGTACATGTAAGGCTGTGTGGGAAGACAAAATGGCAACAAGGACTGCAGTAGGGACAGATTTTTAGGTGGGTCTTTCCCTGTAGTAGCTTCCACCTCACTTCTCAGACGGTTTGGCTGTTTCAAGATGACAGTTTCATTTACAGGGAATCATGCAACAATCACCCATATCGTATATGTGCAGTTACTAAGCTTTGCCATCAATTTATGTCCGGAAAAAACAACAACCTGTGTATCATTTGAAAGAACAAGTGAAATGTAAAAGTAAAACTAAATCATGTGGAAACAGGGACTGAACATGATTAAATCAATTAATGCTGCAGACTGATGGATGACAAGAATCCTTGCATTTCCTCCGGCAATTTATACAACAGCATTGTTCAGTTGACAGAGAATTATGAACAATGTCCCTTTAAATCAGAGTACTGCAAGGAAAATCTTTTTTCAACAACTACACTGAGCTGTAGAACATCATCTTCATACTCATCATCACTTTACATACCCTGGGTACCACTGTCCTTGAGACCTACACAGACATGCTGGAGAGCTTCAAGACACTTCCTCAAAATGCCCAACTTTAGCGAAAGTTGTGGACGGGATTCTCCAGCAGCCAAGAGCTGGGTACTTACAATGGGGATTACCTCCCTGTCCCGCCTGCCACAAACCTAGCCCTAAGCACAAACTTTCCATGGATAATGAATGATGCAATAGTGTTGGGGACATCTTGCAGATACCATCTTATCTTTTCAGACATGTCCACTCAATATCTGAATCTGACTGACAGTAGATCTTTTTTTGTCATTTTCAGACATAGATTTGTGAAGATAAAACATTTGCAAATACTACAATATAGTTCTGACAGGATGGCTAAAGGGATAACGCATAAGGCAATTACAGTATTAGACATTGCAAAATGTCTGTCTTAGCTTCTATTTTATGTGGTTGGTTCATTCTGTAACAAATGCCAGACATAGCTGAAAAGGGTCGTGTCCGGGCAAATCCTGCAGAGGTGCGAAGAAGAATGGCTATAAAAAGGTGGTATGACGTTAGGGATAAAGAGGTGTAAAGCTAGGGACATAGCAGGAGATTGGGGCAGATCAATCCTAGAGCGAAGAGGCGGAGCAGCTTTGGATAATGTGTTGAGCATGAAAAGCTGACATTTTTTGATGTGGTTCGGCAGGTTTTCACCTGATCACAAGATGACTACAGCCAAACCTATCTGTAGTTATCAGTTAAGGGTCTTCAATAAGATGGCCACATGAAACAGGTGGGGTCAATGGGAAAGTCATTGTATTTCAGTTGCCATTTCACCTGTTAACACTAACTTCCCTGGAGAATGCTGCACCCTTCCTCCTTGTAAATTCTACCTGCTGCCTAACCCCCTAACAAAAATAGAATTGGTAGCTGAATGGCTACTTAAGTGTGCTAATGGTTCATCAAAACTTGTCCCCTTATTTGCAAGGCACGGGTGAAAAATGATTTCTATAAGCTCTATAAATGCAACTAGCTGTCAGCTGACTAGGCTCTTTTCCCTGGTCGTTAACGAGTGATTAATCTACAATATGCTAATAGACATTTCGAGTACAAAGGTTGCGTGTATCCCCCTTCCCAATAAGTGGTTTCCATGTAAGATGGTGACCCTTGACTCTGATAGGGTTGCCTCCAGATAAGGTGAACGCTTGCAAAGTCTACAAAGAAGCAACACACACATGGTGACCCACGGAAAGGGCACTCAGTATCTGCCACTCTGCTATTTGAACAACTGCTTTCCTAATTCCCCAGCCTACACCAAGGGAAAGCTTATAAACTTGCCACAACTACGAGGCATTCCATGATACTGACTGAATGATGATTAGTCATTTACTGTCGGACTACTGTAGATTTTTTAGAAACAAATTTGAATTTTTTGGTATAATTTTCAATAGTCCATCTAGAGAAATCAAAATCAGCATCATTATTTCAAGGATTTTAAGAATATTGGGCATAATGTGTTTGGAGGCTAGTAAACTTGTAAAGTATAATATACAGCAATCTCTGATAATAGTGATATATGGTCTGATACATAGCCACTATGTATAAAGGCCTTGCTATGTTGGTCAGTATAACACATCTGCCACTGGTCTGTCGGCCTGTGTGTGTGTAGTGTGTAAAAAATGGTGTTCGACCCTGCCACCACTCTGGCAATCACTTGTAACAAAATCGTCAAATAGTTTCACTGGAGTGGGGAATGGGCAGCCCACATGCCTCTAGGACAGATAAACACACAGCACGACATACCTGGCGAAAAATGACGCTGCTGCTGACGTCCCGCCAACGGACCCGGCGGAGGATGGCGTCGGGTAGATCCGAGAACTTGCCGCGACGGACCTCGTGGCGATCTCTGACACGCTGCTACGGCTGCTCCCCACGCTGGCCTGGGTCTGTCCAAACAAAGGAGTCACTCAATCAATAAAGACCTTGCACCAATGTCATTTTACAGGAAGCAATCAAAATCAAATGCCAACAACATTTCTGATACAGTAACACACCACTTCCCTGTTTGCCCTTTCCTTCCCCAACCCACTCTCTCAACTTAGGAGGTCGATCAGATTCGTGACAACTGTACAGGTCGCCTTAGCATTAAACTTGGCAGCAAAACTCAAGGGGAACCAGGTATTTCTGATAAAACAGAGCCGATCTTTGTGCGGGAGGATTTTTCCAGGCCCACACACAGTTTCCAAACCCCCTGGTTCAACAGTCCCAGCACCCTACCAGCAGTGTTGAGACACGGTAAGTCAGGCAAGTCCAGTCTTGTTCCTGCATGGCTGGAGTGCTGAAGGTAAACCCTTATGCCAGCACACTGCAGCCGGCTATAGTAGCAGCTGGAGCCCTGCCTGAGGCCAGGCTTCCCCTCCAACCCTGCCTGGACAGATCCACTGAGCTCCCGGACCCTCAATTACCCCCACATGTGGAGTACCACAAGGTCAACCCACAGCACAATACAGCACTTGTCCCTGCACAACGGGCCTGATCGATAACCGCACAGCAGCAGTGCAGCACTGCCAGCAAGCAACCCCTCCAACTCAGCTATTTATAGTGTCTCCACACCTAGTCAATACCAGCTGAAATACATATCATATATAAATCTGGAGACTGCTTTTGTCCCCTTGGCTGGGCCTGTTGACAGAACGTTAAAGATGTTGACTATTGGACTACTTGCTGCCATATATCATACCATTGTGGTGGAAGAGACAGGTAGACAAATAGGGGGCATGCGCCCAGTATCACCCTTGACAGGCATTCCCCACACTCCACACAACCTCCAGCCTCCAGAAGCATTCCCCTGCGCCCGAAGTGCGGACCTCCGAGTGGCAACTCCGCTATTTTCTTCTTCGTAGCGCAGATCACACAATCAGGGAAAGTGCACTTTTTGTTGATCTTGACAAGCGGAGCGGAAAGGAAAACATACATGCCAAAGACAGCGTCAATTAAGAGAACAGGTTAGATCACTTCCTAATTCCTCTCTCTCAAGCCAATCTTGCTTTCTTTTCTAATGGTATCAGTCCAAAGAATAGATGTTTTTTCGACCCACCAGAAAAAACAACTGTTTCCTTTACTACTGCCACATAAAGGCATGAAGGACAAGAGAACACAAGCCACAACTGCTAAGCAGAAACAACAGCCACACCAAGCATTAAGCCAACAGGATCACATTTCAACTTTCCAGAAAAGCAGAGATGACCTTAGCAAGCCCCATTTCCTATGGATTTGCAAAAAGTCACTGAACCATTTGGGCAATAGGAAACTTTCCTTGACACTTAGCCACTCTGTACAAGCCACTTGGCATCAGCGGATTTCCACCAAGTGCCCAATGTAAATTAGGACTGGCCATTTTTTTTTCTTCCTTTACCACATGCCACCAAGAGTTGCCTACCCCATGAACACAAACTAAAGAATATAAGAAAAAAAGAAAAATGCAGAATAACCTAATGATCCTCAAACAAAAGGAAAATCATCAAAACAAAAGGCTTACCATTCAACATTGATACAAATACAAACCTGGATATGCATTTCACAACAATAGGTTTGTGGCGTGTAGCAAACCTGAAAAGTTACCTCAATCCACAGGCAGGGCAGGTTGTCTGGGAGCATTTCAGCTTCTGACTCCTGGTCAACCACAAAGAATATGTACACACTCCAGCCGAGGACAGACACACCACACAACAGTCAACACTCCCTCTCCCTGCCTTCCCGGCCACTAAAGTTTCCACCTCATCTGTGTCCTCTCCTGGCCAGAAAATCAGCAGGCTGAGAGGGGAGGGCATTAATAATGTGATATATGATACACTCACACACCACTGGAGTGGGACAAACTGCTGTGTATGCCCACCAATCACAGCGCTGGATTTGTCTTCAGCCCCCTTCTATTTCCATACTTGATAAACTGACTCCATCAGCCAATCCCAGAAGGGTTTAGAAGAAAGACTGCCATCATACCCCCTGTAATCCTTTTATCCCTTTAATCTGAATATGACTTTTTCACCGCCTCCAAGATTTATATCCCCACCTCCTGTGTTAGCTGCATGAAGCCTTTTCTCTTGAATCCAATCCTCCATTTGGGGAGGCAGGACCAATGGACTCGAAAAGAAAGGCTCGAAAACACATGTCCACACGTGACGGAGCACCCTGACATCACGGGAGAGGATTTACTTCTTCACACCATCCTGAGAGTTTGCCCAGCGCTGGTGTCTCAATATTTGGGAACACCACATACAAAGACATGTGCCATCCCATTCATCCTACTGCTCTTTCAGCCTTGGGAGGACCTTTTTTTCCTTCAGGTCTCTGTAAGGTTCTCCTCAGCTTGATATGTGTCATCATCCCAAGGTACCAGTGATCACACAAACCTACCAACTGAACTTCAAGCACTGAAGCAGATACAGACAGGGATCCCGCAGCTCATTTTCAGTGTTCTGTGTTTGCAACAATCAATACACTTTTTTAGTATCCCACTTTTTACCAGTTTGCCTCCTCCTTGGAGCAATGCTAGTAAAGATTACTAAATGCTGCAAAAACAGGTGCGAAACACAGAGAACGAGTCAGATCCTTACATCTGCAGTGGTCGAAATACTTTTTTTCAGTGCTCTGCAATATTGCAGAAGAGTCAAAATTTCGTCCTGCAATTTGGAAACACTTTCTGCAACTACACAAGCCCCCATATTACAACCTTCTGAAACCAATAATGCCTATTCTTACATCATATATATATAACGTTAACGGTAATAGTTATAGCTTTGTAAATCTGTAGCATTACTGAAATTCTTCAAAATATCAATCTTTTAAATATGTTCGGACCGTAAAACTTTATCGGTCCGGTCCAAAAAAAACGAAACGTCGGTGGACCGGTTTTTTTGACCGGAACAAAAATCCATATTTGTTGTTACTGAATAACTGATGATCACTACATACAAAGAAGCCTGCCAGGAAAATGAAAATCCAGCCTTCAAATAAAAGAAGTTTACCTTAGTCTCCGTCTCTCTCATTTTGCAACAATATGGTTTTTCGGAGGAGCCATGTTTCCTTTGCCGTGTTGCCTGCTGGGAAATGCTCAGCGAAAACTGCCGAAAATTCACGAGGCAGTTGTCGGGTCCTCCCGGGAGACGAAATCTAACATCGGAAAATGGCGAGTGCCCATATTTGGTTATCGTCGCCTTTCGTCGCCTTGTCGAAATCGTTCAACTTTGACCCCAAATTCCCTTATATGGGACCATTACAGTCTGCTGAAAAACGCCGGCAGGTGAGCAAGTTCGTGCGGCGCAGGTTTTCGATCTATTCACAGCGCCACTGCTTTGCTAATTGAAAACTATTGAATCCGGAGCCTATTTTTTCCTTCTGCAAAATTGCAGATTGTAAGATTTTTTCTTCTGCAATCTTGAAAATCTATCTGCAAATTGCAGACTGCAGACGGGTATTTCGAACACTGATCTGCTTGTCAACATGTGGGTCAGAGGTGAGAAACAGATGGGAAGCCTTCTGTTTGCTGCCTGGTCTTCCAGCTATTGTAGGTCGGGCTGGATTGGCATTAAAACACCATCTATATCAATGACCGTGGTCTTACGGCCGGATGTATCCCATTCAGAAGTCGTGTCTGTGATATACAGCCAGCCCTAATTTGCTGCTGGTTATCGATAAGCAGCTGCGATCTGTGGCAACTTGGAAGTCACGAGCTGATTGATTTATAAAGGTCGCTAAAAAATCTGGCCAACGTTTTATGAGGTCACGGCCAGGTCAAATTCAGGAGGAGCAAACAAGTGTATCGAGGAAGTGACCGACACACAGTGACACACATGTGTCAACGATCCCATTTGGTTTTAACATGGGCAATAAAGGCAAACTACTTTCACTTCCTGCTTTGCCTGTTGAGTGGCGAACGAGGAATGAAGCCTGTGGGAAAGATTGCCGGGTTTTGTGAACTCTGACATTTCTATCCTATCTCAGCACACAGAATCATTCCAGCTACATGTCATGCATCGCAAACTCAAGCTGCCTTGTAGGCACTATTTGTACCTTCCTGGGAGGAAGGTAGTCTCCAGGATGCACCTTCCGGAAGAGATTAACCATTTCTCCAGTCTGTTTACATTACTCCTTGTCACTCCCTGCTACGATAGCTGTGACCTCTGCGGTCTGGAGGTCGAGAAAAGACAATGTGCCCATCTGGTAAAGCAAATGGTGTCACAGATAATATGCTTCAGTCCCCTCCAGCCCTCCGGCGGTGCTCCTGAATGAGGCCGCTTGCCGTCTTTTGTTATTCTGATCGGCGGGACCTCGGCACACTTTTCCCCATCTGTGGGAGACGTGCGTCTCCAATTTTCTTAACAAATCCTCGCCATTGTTAGGAACAGGCCGGTGTGCTTGGGAGACCCCCTTCCCAGCTTCGGAACAATTACACCGAACAAACCTGTGGATTCTTCCCCCTCCCTCCCAACTGAGGGTCACAAGACCCTCTTTTCTTTCAACTGAGTCTGTTTGTTTCTTCTGGAGCGTGTGAATAACAGGTTGGGCACCCACCTGTGTGAATCTGTACCTGTATCAGTCAACTGGTATAAACTGCCTTTATGCCACATAACAGCCTCTCAAAGCACACTGCAGCAGTTGGTTCTGTCATACCTAGCAACTTACACATCTAAAACTCATATTGTTAAACTGTATTTTGATGAAACACTAACTTGAATACAGTTGCCCCTGACAAATTTCATGAGAACTTTCTTTATGCTTGTGAGAATAGCTGAAGAGATGAAGAATCTGACCTGTGTGAGGTGTGGATGCTGGAAGCCCAGCTTGGAGACGCTCCAGTTGTCCTCCAGGAGCTGCTGTGCGTGTGCTGCCACGGCAGAGGGTGAGGTCCTGACAGGCAGCATGCTGTGGGCCGGGTACTGCTGCTTCCCCTGCGCGTGCCTGCCCGTGGCGCGGTGGTGCGAGGACGGGTTGAGCGTGGGCAGGTGGCCGCCGCGCTGTAAGGCGGCGATGTTCCTGGATCCCACAATGGAGGAGAGGTTGCCCAGGGGTGCACTGCCGGGGTTGGACTGGGCCTCGTCCAGGGACTGGACCATGGCGATGGCGTCCTGCTTCAGCTGGTCCAGGTGAGTGGCGCACGTCTCGCAGTGGTCCTCGCTCCACCCCTTCTGCAAGCCCTCCGGGATCTGAAGCTTCTCCGCAAGCGATGCCGACATGTCAGAGTCCTGGAGAAACAGCGCCGGAGAAAAAAATCATCACATGGATGAAAGACCTTTAAAACAACAATGTGCACTGACTGGCAAGTTGCCAAAAT